ATTATTATTATTATTATTATTATTTCTGCAGTTTAGCTCCATCTGCTGTCAGAGAGTGAAAGTGCGCTTTCATCCGTGCTTGTTTACATCAGAGTGCGCAATTTGTAATATATAATTATTCACGGTATTTAGTAGTGCCCATGATAACAATATCGTGCATATTCATTACCGTGATATATCGCATTACCGAATACCGGCACAAGTCTATTCGCGAGACGATTTTTAGACTAACATAGACTAGTAGCTTAATTTAATAATTTGCACACTTGCCATCCACCTTTGTTTCTTTCGATACAGAAGTAAGCTATTTTCTGTGCGAGACCTCCGATTCTAACAAAGTGCAGTATTTGTACTACGAAAGAATTGATAACTATGACAATAAGGTAAAATAAAAATTATACAACATACCAGTTTGCGATATCACCCCGCCCCCTATTGACATTTTGGAGTGAATTTGATTGCCCAGATGAACTAGTGCGAGTAGGCTAGCAATAGAGTTAGTTTTGTTATGCAGACTTGGCAACCCTGGAGCAAATGAGACTGGAAGCCCAAGTTACAAAGGGCCACGCCCGCTTTTACGTTACAAACAAGGTGAATAGAGATATTATCACAAAATAAATAGAATAAAAAATAAATATTTTTAATGAAAAGGTGTGACAACTACAACCGAGGCTAGCTGTTTACCTTTAAGGCACTTCTGCAGAGCAAATCTTTCTCTTGTGGTTTAGCCTAACAGTTTAAGGTGGTTGATAGGAATGTTATTGAAACTTAAACTCAAACTCTAAACCTAAACTTAATCCTAAACCTCATAGGAATGTTATACCAAGATCATCACAGCTTGAAACAGTTGGGTTTAGAGTTCTGTGCTATAGTTCATAATGTACATGAATGCACATCCCTCTTTGCACTAATCTCAGAGGAGATGTTTTCTAACAGAGATGCTGATTGCATCTGGGCTTTGTGGCCGACCAAAATGCAAATGCATTCTGTGAGGAAACAGAAATAAGAGCTTTTCCAGAAGCTGTCGGATGAACTCAGCCTGCATACCTGACCAAAACTGCTGGTGATGGAAGAATATTGCTGTGGGAGTGCTATTCTGAATTATTTCGAAACTGGAGCTGTGATTTTGCAAAGACAATGTCTTATTTGAAAATGCTGTAGCAGCTTACAATGATGTCTCACTAGTACTTGTTGGGTTGATTGGTTTACAAGATAACCTCACTCATTTAATGCTATAGATGAAAGAAATCTTTAGTTATAGAATGGTTTAGTGCATTTTTTTTATCAGTTTTAAAAAAATAAATGATTTTTATGAAATGACTAAAACAGAAAAACGATTCAATTACCATTATTAATGTTCCTTTTTGATGGATATTTTGATTTGGGTCTAGAGTAGACAATTTTTTATTTAACTTATTTAAAATATAATAATAATTAGTATTATTATTGTTGTTTATTAATCAATTAATTAATTAATTTTTATTCTGTATTATTTTACTGGACCGCACACTTATTGTGTAGAATGTTACAACAAAAATAAAAAATAAAATATTTAAATAAATGAATTACTAAAAAGTGGGGGGGTTATATTCCATTCTCTGAGTTACATGTGTCGGAACAGGATATCAGTTCTTCTAAAGGTCATTGTTTATGGGCTCTAGAGGCTGGAAATTGGTTAATGCAGTGAGCTGCGTCCCAGCCCTCTGTAGTAGAGATGAATTAAAGCCAGTTCAGAAAAAAGCCAACAACTAATATGGAGACATTGGAGAGCCAGAGATTATACCACCAAATAACTACATTTAAGATATTTTAGGACAGCATTGTCAGTAAAATGGGCTATTTTCTTTAGATTATATTTGAAACACTGCTGTTTGTCATTTTTTTTGTTGGTTTGTTTGTTTTTCAGTGAGTTAATAATTTTATTGTTTTGTAAAATGCCATTTTCTTCTCCTTTTTATTTTATTTTTTAGTACTTATTATTATTATTATTATAAAATAATTATGTATTAAATTATATATATACACATATATGAATACATTCTAATAATGATTAATTATCAAAATATAAATATAAATCATGAATCATTATTATTTTATATTATTATTATTATTTGTATATTACATTAATATAAAGACTATAAATTGTATTAAATAATGTTATCTAATGAATAGATCCAAATGCTGCCATTTTATAGATTGTTTCAGTTTTATAATTTTTTCTATTTGAAATTATTATTAATTTTTTATTTATAATTAGATGGATGGATGATGGATGGATGGATGATAGATGGATGGATGGATGGATGGATGGATAGATGATAGATAGAGAGATAAATGATAGATGGATGGATGGATGGATAGATGATAGATGGATAGATGGATGGATAGATAGATGATAGATGGATGGATGGATAGATAGATGATAGATAGAGAGATAGATGATAGATGGATGGATGGAT